AGTACCACCAATTTTCAATGTAACCTTTGGCGTCGTTAATTAAGTTGCCGAGCGTAGCGCGCTGGACCGAAGGAGCTAGGCCCAGAAACGCCAGGGCGGCCTCGGTAAAAATCACGGCCGGGATTCGCAAAACCACTCCGACCAGCAGTTTCCCCAAAATATTGGGAAGCGCGTGGTGAAAAATTAATCCGCTTTGGCTGACTCCGATCGATTCGGCCGCTTTAATGTATTCCGAGTCTTTGACCTTGATGATAAAAACCCGGGTGCGGGCGACCGGAGAAGTTCAGCCCACAATCACGAGCGCTAAAAACATCGTCCAAAAACTAGGTGGGAAAATAAACATCAGCACGATAAACCAAATGATAGCTGGTACCGAACCGATGATTTCAATGATCCGCATTAGGAAGTTATCGAGACGGCTACCAGCGTGGAACCCGATGTAAGCACCGACGATAATTCCGATCGTGGCCTCCACTAAAGCGACCATTAAACCTAGGAGCAAAGATTGACGAGTCCCGATCCAAAGGCGAGTTCAGATGTCTCGACCGACTGCATCTGAGCCAAGAATTAAATTGTGGTTGGTGCCATCAAGACTATTTAAATAACTCCAAGGGTTAAAACTAACTTGCATTTCACCCGATGGTCCGACGTGAATATATTTGCCAAGATGATTGCCGTCAATAATTCCCTCGTTAATTAAATCTTGCAGAAAAGAATCGTCGCTGCCGGTGATTGTTTGCACGCTTTGGCCGCCGTTGAGCCAGTTGGGAGGCAAAAATGAGATCAGACCGGATTTACCGCTCGAAATCGCGCCCATTTCCGAGTACTGGGACGCAAAAGGCACGATCAGTGCCATTAAGACGATGGCGCTTAAAACGATTAACGCGATCGTGGCGTAGGGGTTAAAGAAAAACCGCTTCAAAACCTGTTTGACGTTGGTAGTCGGTTGGCCCGGCACTTCGGCTAAAGTTTGGTTGAGTTGACTCGGCGGCGCAAGACGAAGTTGTTTGGAGTCAAATTCGTAGTTGCTAAAGTCAAAACGGAGCGGCGGTTTTTGCGGCGGACGAGCCATTATTTGTCTCCTTCAAGCGTTTCGTAAGTTCGGGAAACACCGATTTTTTGGTTTGATCGGCGCAGACGCCGAGCTCTCAAGTAACGAATTAAGCGCAGATCGGTGGCCGAAGCGTATTTAATCCGCGGATCAAGCCATAAGTAGAGCATATCGGTAATGATACCGAGCAGCAAACCAAGCGAAACAAAGAAAAGTGTGTTAAACATCACCACGTTGTATTCGGCGTCTTTGACTGCGTTAACGATAATTTGAGAACTACCGGGAATTTGGAAAAAGGTCTCGATCACAATCGAACCAGCTAGTAAAGCCGCGAACGAAGGGACCATGATTGAAACAAGCGGAATTGCCACGTTGCGCGCGACATGTTTTTTAAACACTTGCCATTCGTCAAGTCCCTTGGAGCGGGCGATCATGACTTGGTTTGAATTGAGGACTGAAACAATTTCGTTGCGGGTGTAGTAGGTGTAAATTGCTAACGATGAGAGACTCATAACTGCGATTGGAATTAGCAAGGAAACAATCATTTGTTTGTAACCACCGTTTTCCGGTTTAACGAAAGCAGTTGGCCAATTGATAGCGCCGCCCAGCGCTAGCGCCAGAGCGGCCAAAATGAACGCCGGCACCCCGGAAAAGAAGATTACGAAAACGTTGATCAAAGCGTCAACCCAAGTTCCGCGTTTATAGCCTGCTAAAGCGCCGAGCAAAAAACCGAAGAATATAGCCAGCAAAAAGGCTGGCACTGTCACCCAAAGCGTGTAGCGGAGCGGACCAAAAAACAAAGTCGGGATCGATTCCACTCCCACGTCCTTGTAAATTTTGCCAAATCCCCGGCCAGTAAAAATATCGCGAACGTAAATTAGAAAACGGGTGCCGACTGGCTTATCTAGGCCAGCGCTTTCCAGCGCGGCTTGGTAATCAGCCGTTGAATCGTAAGCGAAGGGGTCGATCGGCGAAGAGTTGGTTAAACTCATTAAAAAGTAAACGATTACCGTAATCGCCATCAGAGCAAAAGCGGCCAGCAAAAGACGTTTTAAGAAGAATTTAAACATTAGATGACCTCGTAGTCTTGAAGATAAACCACACCGTTTTTGAGACTGTGCCCAACCAGCCAAGGTTGCCAAACTTTAGCGATCGGTTTTTGCTTGTTGGGTAGTCCGATTTCCTGGGTTCCAAAGAAATTACCGACTAAACTCATGTACTCGTTGAAGATGCTCACAAAGTACTGGTCGTCAACTTCTTGCTGAACTTCAAAGTCAAGCTTGGCAATTGTGTTTTGAAATTGAGCCCGAGCCCGATCAACCAGTAGGCGGTCTGGCGCGGACAATTTTTCGTACTTTGACACGTCTAAGAGCGAATCGCTGATTAAACTGTGGGCGCTGAGACTGACTTCTTTAGCGTTGCTTAGAAGACTCACTGCGCTAGGGTCTTTAAAAACGTCGGCTAAATCAGGACGAGCAGCAAAGTGCTCCGAGATTTGGGAAGTGATTCGCTCGGAGAGGCGCTGGCCGTAGTCAGCAAGCGTTGGAGTGTTTTGACCGAGATTTGAATTAAGACTCGCTAAAGCTAAAGCGTGGATTCCAAAACGTTCGCGCGATAAACCTGTGAGCCAAGTCCCAGCTCCGGCGTAATCGGGGGACCAGTTGTGGAACGAGTACCAAGTCCCCTGCCCCAACAAGTAGTTGCGCATAACATCGGCGTTGTTATAAATTTCCGCGCTTGGCTCGAGTTGGGGGTTAAGCATTTTTAAAACCTCGGCAAATTGCTGAAGCATTTGAGTTCCGTTGGCATCTATGTTAACAAAGCGATTGGTAAAAGTTCACTCAATTTTTGTCTGAACATCATCGCCCAACACGGTTTTGATGGTCCGAGCGATGGCGGGCACTATTTTTTCAAAAGCAGCCGATTTAAGGCTGTCTTGCAAGGAGGAAGTGCTTTGGTAGACAGTTTGGTTTTCTTGCATGCTAACCGTGTTTTTCACTAGGGAAATTTGATCGGAACCGAGTTCGTAATATGTCAAAGTGTTCAGTTGATCGCGGTAATCGTAAAAAGTAGGCGGATTTTCAGATTCAGACGTTTGGCCACTCACCGGTGCATCGGGCGGCAAAGGCGGATACCAGGGTTCAGTTTGGTCAAGTTTTGACATGGTACGGTTTTGAGTGTACCAGTTGATCGCGGCCATGATTTGGCTTCGAAAAGCGACGGCCGAAGATTTTAAGTATTGACTTAGCTCCATTTTGCCGGCGCTGATATCAGTCAGCGGTGAACCAAACCAGAGACGAGCGAAGTTATCGTTAAAGTGGTACCGACTAAGACCGGGCAGTGGCAAAGCAATCGGAAAAATATCGCTGACAAACCGGTTGTCAATTTGCGAATCGACGTAACGAAGACCAAACTTAGTCGGATCTTTTTTGATGTCAAAAATTTTGTCAGAAGCAAGATCGTTAAGTTCGAGCGAGTAAACCCGTCCGTGGCGGTACTGCTCAAACATTGATTGGGCAAAAATTTTGTTATCGCTTTGCGGTGAATAATCAAAGATTATGTTTTTGATGCTGCGCGCGCTCTTGACAAAATCGTCGTTCCAGTAGTGAGTGTTTAAATCAAACTCCACCTGAAACTGGTTGTTATTTTTGACGTAGTAGGGCCCAGCGTAAAGAGTGTTAGACCAGTCGGTTCCGTAAGTAAAAATTCCGTACTTGCGAACGTTAATATCGGAAGTTTCAACCGCCGGATCTGACTTATCAGGCACAACCAGTGAAGCTCCATTGCCGCTGACGTGACTAACTTTGCTGGCGTAATCTTGGATGTAGCCTGAGGGGGCTGGAATAAACTCTAAACTGTCCAAAAGTTTTTTGAAAAGTTGGCCAAAATCGGCTTTCTTAACGCCTTCCTTAGCTGAAATTGAAACGGTCGGCTGTCCCTCAAAACTACCTAACAAAGCCGCGCCAGAACGACCTGGCAAAGGCGTAACCAACTCGGTCAAATTTTTGACGCCAAAAATGTCGTAAAGATAGTTGTTGGAAAATCCGCCCGTCGTTGACGCCAAAGGACGAAAGCGACCGATTACCGAAGCTTGACGTGATTGTTCGCTTCAACGCTGGCTCCACTTTTGCTGATCTTGACCCTTTGGCAAAACACCGTAACCACCAAAAGGGTTGCTGGCGTCGACTGGGGCGTGCCGTCAGTTGTTGTTGGTCAGACCCGTTCGGTAAGCGCCGTAAAGCCAATCAAGCGCTTTGACGTAGTAAATTTGTCCGCTTGGACTAGTGGCTGGCTCGCCAAAATGGTTAACCCAAGGGACATTGGGACGAACGACAAAATCGATCGCCAAAGTGGCCGGACTTGCTAACGATTGACGGAAAAACTGCGAATTAATCGAGTTTTTTAACTGGGGATCGTCAGCGTCGCTATCAAAAACTAAGTTGGTGTTAGTTTGGCGCAGGACAACTTTGGAAGCTAACTCAAGTTTCCAAAACTGACTAAAACCGTGCTCAGAGGGTTTGAGATTTAAGTTAAAATCATCGCCAACTGGCTTTGATAAATCAACCACCCGGGCATTTTCGCCCCGCGAAGAGTGACGAACAAGTTGGGGAGTTATCAGTGGTCGCTGCGGTTCGTTAGAAGCGATTGATCCGTAGGAAAACGAGCCATCAAAACGGTACCAAGTGTTCACATTCACGCCGTTAACAACCGTGCGCAACTTGTTTTTAGCTATCGACTGATCGGGCAGACCGTAGGCGATACCAAGGCCGAGCGAACCGAAAATCGCAGCTGTGGCAAAAAACCCGGCTAGTAATCTGAATCATCCTTTGTAAGTCATGCCACCGCCTAAAAATCAAGAGTCATTACCGTTGGTAATGCTGTGTTTAATACCAACCAATTAATAATCCAAGCAATTATAGCATGAACGAGCAAAGTTTCCGGCTAAGCGTTAATACTTGATCAACGAATGGGTGCTAATTCCGTGGTACTTTTGACGACCTTTTAAATGAATAAGTTCCACCACAAAAACAACGCCAATTACTTTCCCGCCGTGTTTCTCAACTAAATCAACGATCGCCCGGGTTGTTCCGCCCGTAGCTAGTAGGTCATCAATAATGACCACCTTTTGGCCGGCCTTAATCGCGTCGCGTTGGATTTCCAGCGTTGTTTTGTTGTACTCAAGCTGGTAAGTTTTTCTAAAAACTGGTCCCGGCAGTTTACCGGCCTTACGAACCATCACGAACGGTTTTTTTAAAATTGAAGCTACCGGCGTCGCAAAAATGAAACCGCGGGCGTCCGGACCAACAATTAGATCAGCTTCTTGACAAAACTCGGCCAACTTTTGAACCGTGTAGTGAAGCGCCTTGCCGTCGGCTAAAAGTGGCGAAATGTCGCGAAATTCAATGCCTGGTTCGGGAAAGTCGGGAAAAGTTCGGATCAATTTTTTTAAATCCACGTCAGTCATTTTATCTTAATCAAGCGTTAAACCGCTTGAGTTTTGAATTCACTTGAAAAAACTTTGGTAAGTTCGCGGCAAGTCAATTTGCCGCTCCTTTTGGTAAAAACCCCGCATTTTGGCGTACTTTTTTAAGTTAACGGCGATTTGTTTTTCATCTTGAGCCGGGTCCAAGTTTAAAGACTCAATTTTAGTGGGATAAAGTTTCGACATCAGTTGGTAAGCGCGGTAAAAAGTCTCTTTTTGGTCAATCGCCCGGTCGCTAACCAAGCCCAAAACCGCCAGTTTGGTCGCCTTGTCTGGCTCAGAAACTTCGGGTCACAAAACACCCGGGTTATCAAAAATTCAAGCTCACTTGGATTTAACAACTTGTCATCCCCGCGTCTTGCCTGGCAGGCGGGCGACCGGTGCACTAGCGCGACCGACCAAAGTGTTGATTAAACGAGATTTACCGACGTTAGGCAAACCAACCACAAAAATTTTAGGTAAGCGAATCGATTTGCCTTTTCAAACTTGCTTAATTTTTTGGCTGATTTGTTTAGCGGCCAAAGGATCGTCTAAATCCACTACAACCCAAGGAGCAATTCGGTTAAACTCCTTTTCCATTTCGGCTAGCCGAGCTAGGTCGCTTTGGTGTTTGCGGGTCAAAACTAAAATTTGCGGTTTTTGGCCAATTAGGTCAACTAGGTACTGGTTATAACTTGTCCGCGGAATTCGCGCGTCTAAGACGTTGATAAAGAGGTCAACGTTATTTTTGACTTCCGCAATTTGGCGGCTGGCCTTAGCCATGTGGCCCGGGTACCACTGCATTAGCTTATCCAAGTCGGAATCGGAACTTGGCCGTTTAAAAACAAAACCACCAGAGCGATCATTCCCGCGTAAAACAAGACCACTAAGTAGTCGGTTCAACCAGGCACGTAAACACGGTAACGAGAGCGTTTTTCGTAAGGATCATAGCCGCGAGTTTCCATCGCGTAAGCTAGGTCATCAGCCTTAGTAAAGGCGGAAACAAAAAGCGGAATAATTAGCGTCACCAGCGATTTGGCCTTTGTTTTTAGATTGCCGTTTTTAAAGTCAACTCCGCGCGAAGCTTGAGCTTTCATAATTCGCTGCGCTTCCTCTAACAAAGTCGGAATAAAGCGGAGCGCAATCGCGATGATGAGGGCGATAATGTGAACTTTGATGCGTAATAGACGCAGCGGAAAAAGCACGTCTTCGATCGCTCGGGTTAACGCCATCGGCGAAGTTGTAGCCGTTAAAAGCGTCGTCGTCAAAATCATGATGTAAATTCTGATCATGATCAGAAGTGATAGTTGGATCGCCCGGTCAGACAAAGTGAATTTCCACCACGATCCGTAAGTTTCGCCGACTTGACCAGTTTTGCCAAGTATGAAAAGGTTGATCACGAAAATGAACAACCCGATCGCAACGACTGGTTTGAGCGAAGAGATGAGTAAAGTTTTGCGTAAATGCGAAAATAGGAAAGCTAGCATGATCGGCGCTAAAAAAATCGTTTGCATAATTAAACTGCTCGTTAGGAAAACCAAAACGATTAGCAAAATGTTAACCAGCAGTTTCACGCGCGGATCCAACTTGTGAACAAACGAGTTGCCTGGGATGTATTTACCGATTGTGACGCTATTCATCTTGCTTACCTCGGGCTAATTTAATTCGTCGAACCAGTTGGTTCAAATCGCTGACGCGACCAATTTTTAAACCGCAATTTTCTAACTCCTCAACTAGGGAAACGAGTTTAGGTGGCTCGAGTTCGTTTTCAAGCAAAAAAGCGCGGTCGTACAGCACATCAAGCGTGTTACCATCGCGAGCAATTTGACCGTGACGTAAGACAATTGTGCGCTTAACGTAGGACAAAACTTTGTCAAGATCGTGCGTCACGACCACAATTGTTTTACCTTTGGCGTTTAGCTCTTTAAAAATGCCGTACATCTCGCGGCTACCCTCTGGGTCAAGACCAGCAGTTGGCTCGTCAAAAATCAAAATGTCGGGCTCCATCGCCAAGATTCCCGCCAGAGCCACCCGGCGTTTTTGACCGCCTGAAAGAGCAAAGGGACTGCGCTGCAAGTATTCTTCGGGCAGACCGACTAGTTTGATGTACTCCTTAGCAAGTGCTTGGGCGCGAACCAAAGACACACCCATGTTACGAGGCCCAAAAATGATGTCTTTTTCGATTGTTTCCTCAAAAAGTTGGTACTCGGCGAACTGAAACACAACCCCGACGCGTTTGCGAATCGAGTTGATGTTTTTAATTTTGGCCGCGCGACGACGACCGCCTTCAATAACTATTTCGCCAATCGCCACCCGACCTCGGGTTGGTCTAAGCAATCCGTTTAAATGTTCAATTAAAGTTGTTTTACCCGAACCGGTGTGACCGATGATAGCGATAAACTCTCCCAAACTGAAAGTAACCGAAACGTCTTTCAAAGCGGTAAATTCACTAATCGTTCCGAGCGCGTAAGTGTGGGAGAGATCGGTCGTTTTTATTTGCATAAATTCCCCAGTAGTTGCGTCTTGGAAAAGGTGGGCGCGGTTATCTCCGGTCCCAGCGCGGTTGCTACGCGGTAAATGAACGGACTCTCAATTTTGGCCTGTTTAATAATTTTCTGGTTCGATAAAATCGCGTGGGGATCGCCCTTAGCGATTACCTTCCCACCAGCTAAGACGATTATTTCGTCGGCTAAAACCGCTTCATCCATGTCGTGGGTGACCACGATTAAAGTTTTGCCGTCGTCTTTTTTAAGTTCCTCCATGATCTCCAAAACTTCGCGTTTCCCCTTGGGATCAAGCATGGAAGTGACTTCGTCAAAAACAACGATTTTTGGATCAATCGCCAAAGTAGCTGCGATTGCTACGCGTTGTTTTTGACCACCGGACAAATTTTGGGGTTCTTTACTTAAGTGGTCCAACATGTTGACCTTTTGAGCGTACTTACGCACCTTTTCGTGCATTACCCGGCGGGGCAAAAGTTTGTTTTCCAAACCAAAAGCGATGTCGTCTTCAACCGTTGCGCCGATAAATTGGTTCTCCGGATTTTGAAAAACCATCCCGATTCGAGACCGAATTTTCTTAAGATTTTTGCGCGAAAGTAAGATGTCATCCACCCAAACTTCGCCGCTGGTAGGAGGCGCCAGTCCGACTAGAATTTTAGATAAAGTCGATTTACCAGAACCATTGTGGCCCACGATCGCGGTGTACTTACCGGATTTAATTTGCAGAGTTACGCCGTCCAGAGCGTAACCACCGGCTTGAGCGTACTTAAAACGTAAGTTTTGAACCTTGATCATAGCAGTAATAATTATACAATAAAAATGAGATAAAATTTTTACAACGAATTGAACTTAGACTGGTCAAAAACGCCAATGTAAGGCAAATTTCGCAGTTTTTCTTTGACATCTAGGCCGAATCCGGCGTAAAAAAGGTTGGGTGCGTCAAACCCGAAAACGTCAGCTTCAACCGGCGCTGTTCGGTTGGTTTTTTTGTCGAGTAAAGTCATGATTTTTAAAGTTTTCGGCTGACGTGTTTTCAGTAATTCAACGATTTTAAAAAGCGTTTGGCCAGAGTCGATAATTTCCTCAATGATTAAAACGTCCTTGCCGTTAATATCGCTGTGTAAGTCCATTACCACTTTAACTTGCCCAGTGCTCGACATTCCGCCGGCAAAAGAACTGACGGTCATAAAGTCCATCACGTGGTCAACGTGAATGTGCTTAATTAACTCAGCTAAAAACGGAATCGAACCTTTGAGCAGTCCGACCAAAACTAGGGAAGAACTAGTCCGGTAATTTTGGTCAATTCAAAGCGCTAGTTCCTGACACCTTTTGACAATTTGCTCGTGGGTATAAATTACTTGTGAGATTCGCGCATCAACGGTTAATTGCTTTTGTTTAGTCATTTTTAACCCCGCAGTTAATTTTTAACGGCTACGATTTTGACTTGGTATTTCTGGCGTCCGTCAACTTCAACCACATCGCCTTTGTGTTTGCCTAAAACCGCTTGGGCCAAAGGCGATTCATAAGAAACTTTGATTAGAGGTTGACTGAACGGGTCGGCTTCCAAAGTTCCGACGATCTTGTACGATTGGCGTTCGCCGGTTTTAAGATGTTCTAAAACGAGTTCGCATCCGATCCGCACTTCTTCGCTCTTTGACTTAGTCGAGTGCGAAGTGCTAGTAGTCAAGATTTGCGAGTTGTCTAAGATAGCGTTGATTTCGCGAATCCGGTCCTCAATCTTGCCTTGTCTTTCGCGGGCAACGCTGTACTCGGCGTTTTCAGAAAGATCNCACTTTAAGCGTACCGTTATCATCGTCGTGCTCCAAAGTCTCTAACGCAAAAATAGTTCCCAAACTTTTTTGCTCAGGAATTTGTCAAAGACCTAAGTTTTTAAAAGTTAAGTTGCTCCGTCCTGCGAACTCAGAAGGACGTCTATCAGACAACTCACTAACGGACCACTTACGGGTTACCAGCTCAAGTAAATCGTTCAAAAATGCATCGTTTTCCCGTTTTTTTTCCTCTAAAACTTGCTCAGAAGTTTTAAATCCTTCAATCAAGACCAAAGTCTCCAAAGCAGTTTTTCCCACGTAGATCTTAACGCGCAGTTTTAAAGTTCCAGATCGGTCGTTAGCATCAAAAACGCCGAATTGGATCCGACTCGCGTAGGCAGTCAACCACCTTGGTAACGCTTTTAAACCTAAGGTGTTTAAATCGCCATTTTCAGACTCAAAAGTTCACTTTGCGTCGCTCGCCAGTTTGTCGCTCGACTTGGTCGTGCGGTTAAACGTTTTTTCAAAGTAGTCTTTGATCTGTTGAGCCTTAATGCGATCTTGGTCTTCCTTTGTAATCGTCTCCCGGCGAAATCCGCTGACTAGAATTGTCTTGTTTCTTTGGTAAAAATTACCGTCCAACCAAAACCTGATCGTGATCGTGAGTTCTAATTGACCTTTTTGGTCGTTCGTACGTTTACCCGGTGTAAAGTGAACTTTGGCGCCGTAATCTTGCAAGTCTTTCAGATCGGGCAACCTACCGATCCCGAGTCGCTGATAAAAATCGTGAGCGTCAATATTTTTCAGAAAACTAGTCGCTAACTTCTGGCTGTGGGAAGTTTTTGACCGCGAATTAATTTGATCAAGCACTTTCTGAACGCGCTCAAAAATCTCGCGCAGTCGCTCGTTGCCAACGAGAAATCCACCGACCTTAATTTTTAAATCTCGGTGCTGGCCACCAAAAGCAACTCGGATAGAAGCCTCTAGTTGACCACTTTGATCGTCGATGTCAACTATCTTTACTAGGTGCTCAGCTTGGCGTAAATTAAAATGCTGTTCAATTCCTAAGTCATCGACCGTCACAACGTTTAAATCTTGGAAAAAACTAGCCTTCAGGCTGGGCAAACTGGTTTGCAAATAACCATCGTCAGGTAGGTTCTCAGCGATTTTGGCCAGGAAATCAGTCGGATTAACTTTTAAAAAACCGCTGATCGTGACACCGCGCTTTAAAATTTCCGGCGCGAAGTTAACCTCATCTTTGTAACGGTGAATATCAACCACAATTTGACCAGTTAAATCATCGTAAGACTGAACTTCAAAACTATAGTCTTGACCGAAAACCTTGTCGACTCCGATTTGCTGAGCCGAGTAAATCTGACCGATTTCAAAATCTGTGGTAGAAACCTGTTCTAACGCCGTGCGGTAAGCGTTTTTGAGGTTAATAACTGGCTTTTGATCATCCTGCTCGTTTTTTTTGTGATCAACCCTATCAAAACAAGCTATGAGCGACGTAAAGGGCAAAGTAACGAGCCCTAAGCAAGCGGTGGTTAAAAACATTTTCTTCATACTGATCTCCGATAAACTGTTTAATCATCTCACGATTTTGAACTAGTTTTCGATCTCCCTGGCTCTCCTTTGATCGTCTGAGTCAAACTAGTTAGCATTGACCAAGGATGGTCTCCAAATTCCAGCGCTAAATGAGAAAGGGTTTTGCAAAAAAATCGGCACCCTGAAAATTTACTTGGAAACTTTAATTTTCACAACCGTGTCAATCAGTTTTAACTCGTTCGCATCGTGCCATTGTCGATTTTCTTTTAGTTCTGGCCATTCATAGGCGTAATCCATCAAATTGTTAAAGCGCCCGAAACGAAAACCAACTTTGAAACTCATGATGGCTTGATCGTCGCGGAGCTCAACCTGGCTAAGTCTAAAGTAAGGTCGAGCAGATAAGACAACCTCCCGGATGTTGGGACGGCCAATCATATCACCGTAGAACGATGTCCAATCAATCGGCATGTTTACGTATTTAAAATAAGAATTTTCCCGGTTGATATTTTTGTGTCATTGATTGATTGCGTCTGGATCAGCCAAATCAACCTGGTACTTTGAGATGTCTTGTTTGTAAGTGGTTTGGATAACACTTTTAACGCTTCACGGTAAGGCGGAGTGTTTCATTGGTAAGAATTCATTTTTCGCTAGATATTCATCGTAGGTGCGTTCGGTAACGTCAACAATTTGATCATGGGTGGCAAATCCGACAAACATCTTGGTAAAACTTCTTTTTCCGCGGTAAAGACGGTCGTAGCGATCTTTATTTGTGAACAGACTGCTTTCATTACTTCAAACCTTGAAATTAAAACCGCTAACATCACTGCTAAGTCCCCACAAAAATTCAAATTCGTATCTATCTTGGTTAAAAGTGTGGTGCTCTCCCACTTTTATCGGCTTGGCTAACACATCTATCAGCATCAATTTGTAGTTACCAAATTGATGTTCAACATCTCAAACTGATTCCTCCAACCGAGCAGTTTTTAACAGTTCTCTGATGTGAGTCACTCTCTTACCTCAACCGATTGGATAATGATCAAAAGTGCGGAGCGAGTTTTCAATTCTGTTTTTATCAAAACGAGTCAACCTATCTAGGAAAGCTACAACCGAACCAGAGTAACCTTGTTTGACTTGGTCAGGCAGCTTCTGACTGATTTGGCTCACGCTTGCGTGAAAGAAGGATTCAAAACTCTGGAAGCCAGCGATCACGAATGGCCAATCACTGGTGATCTCTTTATCAACGTAGTGTACAACTGGTTTAAGGGAAATGCTACCGTAAAAACTGGTGCCAGCCGGTCTTTCAACGATTTCAAACTCCAGTTTAACTTTTTTAGAACCAAGTTGCTCGACCCATTTGCGTAGAAGCGCAGCGTTTTTGGACAAGTTAAGATCTTCCAAACTTAATCTTTGACCAGGGTTTCAAAAATTGTCATCACCAATGAACTTGCCAAGTAAAGTTTGATCGTAAGCCAAGACCTCACTCATCTGTTCTTCGGACAAGGCGCTTAGTTGACCCTTGAAGTAAAAATCTCCGAAGATTTTAGACATTTCACGCTGCACTCTGATACTAGCTTCGCGACGGTCTTGATCACTTCAAAACCCATTTATAGTAATCCTTCGGCTACGGATGTAATCGTCGCTAGTAACACTCATCTCAGTCACTATGCGACCCCATTTATCGTCTAGTTCTATGACTTTAAACTCTAGATCAAAATTTTTCAGTTCGGATAAGTGAGTTAATTCCGGGAAGTCTTCAATGCCTAACTCTTCCTTGGTGTAACTCTCGTTAATTTTGAATTGTGAAACCAACACTTCAGACCAAGTTGTTTTCAAAACTTTGTGGTTAGTAATTTTTTGGTCAAAAAATTCGTTGATCAGTTTTTTAGCCAATTTTTCAAAACCACTAATTTTGAAATTCAGAATTTGACTAGATTGACCCCGACTTATTTGCAAAGAAACCACTAGTAGGTCGGCGGTCGATTGACTTGGATTCAAAGTTCATTTTAAACTGACCGCGTTGGTAACCCCGCGGGGCAAGGTAATGTTAAACTCATAGAAATCGTCTTCAAACTGCTCCAGTGTCAGCTTGCGGGGGTCTTTGTCTTTCTCAAATCAACTAGATTCTTGCTTCAACCGAATACGAATTTCACCCGAACGATCGGCTTGATTTGCTTCACGAATTTTATCAGTCCATTCGTCAATTTCCAGTTCGTTAGTTTTTAGACCGCTGATAGTGACGAACTGATCCTCTAGCTTTAAGCGGTTTTTTTCAAGCGAAATTTTGAGCGTTAAAGTTCCTTTGTCGTCGTCCACCGCATCAATAGTTATCTCTAGATCAATGCCCATTGACTGAGCATCAAGGTATATTGGGTCTCGATCTCAAAGACTAAGAAATTTTGCGCCCGGTGCTCCGTATTGACTGGGCAAATGTTCTTTATCTTGCTGAAATCTTTTGCTCAAGTTTTCTTGGACTTTTCTAGCAAATTGACCGAGTTGATTAAGAACCGCCTCGGGCGAAATTTTGTAACCGCTGATAGTAAACACTTTAGTTAATTGTTTCTTACCTATCTTCAACGTCAAATCAACCGTCACTTTTCCGGTTAAGTCATCAAAACTTTTCAGCACCATTGTGACAGAGGCTCCCCTTTTCTCCTCTTCGGAAAGCTCTTTGATCCCCAGTTGATTGAAATTAATTTCATCGCCCGGTTTTTTTCCGTGCTCTTTAAGGAGATCAGAAGGCGTTTTGTTCTCGTAACTAGTTATCTGGCTTGAAATTTTGCCGTGTAAGTTTTCTAGGTGATCGTGGTAATTTAAAAACCCCTTGATGACGATCTTTTTTTCAACATCAACGGTTTGTTTTGACGCCGTAATTAAAAGGTGGACTAGTCCATTTTCATCGTCCACATCGTCTAACTTAAACGTGATCTTTGCCCCTTGGGTTTTTTCATCAGGCAAAGCCGCAATCCCTAACTTTTCAAAACTCACGCCCGTCTCAAGACCAAGTTGGGAAGCGAGTTTGTTTTTGAAAAACTTAGTGGTGGAGCGGTTGTTTTCAATTCAAGCGATTAACTCTTTCAAAAACTCTTTCACACGCGCTTTTTCCTGCTGATCCTCAAGCGATGTTTTGTACCCCTCAATTAATAAATTCACGCTTAACTCAACTTGTCCAACTTTGATGTTGACAATTAAAGTTAAAACACCTTGGTCGTCATCGGGATTTTCAACTCGGAAATTAAGTTCAGCCCCGCTAACTAGGTCAGTGGGTAAATCTTTTAAACCTAAATCGGTTAAATTGCCTCGGAAATCTTTTTCCACCTCGGAAGGCATTTTTCCGCTTGTTGAACTTTTTTTGTCAAACGTGTTTTGTAGATAGTTTTTTATCTTTTGAGCTTTGACTTGATCCTCGTTTTGATACTTGGGATCTTTAGCAGAAAACCCAGTCACTTTAATTTTCTTGCTCTCGCTGTGTTTTACGCCGTGGTGGTCAAAACTGAGA